GTGTAATAATTTCCATGTAAATGCTGGGATTACTAGTGAGTAACTTGAATGTTCGTGATGTGAATAGAGGGTCAATACGCAGCTCATACATACACAACTAATACACACTTTTGTCTGCTACTACTGACGCTCCGTTTCTGTTCTAGACACGTTCTTTATAAACACAATCTCTCTCTCTTTCTCTCTCTCTCTCTCTTTTCCTCTCTGTCACTTTCTGTCTCCCCCTTCCCTCTAAACCTGAATTTAAGAGACAGAAGCATCTGGAATTTTTTCACAGCCTCCCACAGACGTCCTCGAACCTATCATTTTCTCTGCAATGGAGCAATGGTGACGTATGCTTGTCGCTAGTGCAGCTGAATTTTAAAAAGCTCTACGCCCACGCTCAGTACCACTACTGCAAGGCTAATTATCATAAACTTTCCCCGCTGTCTGTGGCTGCTTCTTCCCTTCGTGTACATTTCTCTGGTGTTATTCATTTGCACACATTAATTCGCCTGCTCATGCTCAGTGAGGGAAGGGCCAGAGGGGCTTCTTACTGAAATGATTTTTTTGTAAATCCACAGGTCAGCGTGTAATCGTCTGGGTGTGCGGAACCAGACATTTGCATTTTTTCACCTGTGTTTATGCTTTTGAAGTGTAGCGCTACATGTTTCCGTGTGTGAGAGTGTGTGCAAAGATAAGAAAGTAACACATCAAGCAACTTTGAGTCTCTGAGCATAATTATCCGAGCCCAAAACATTGGCAACAACAACACAGAAATGCCCTAACGGGGTTCCGTCGAGTTTTGTTCTACACTTTTTTCCCCTGCTTGACAACAGGTGCATTTTAAGGTCAAAAACGTACAGAACACATCTTTAAACTCTGGCCAGAATTCGTAAGCAATAGCATTTAAACGCTGCGTTAACTCCAGTTGTAGATGTGATGCCAACGACAACAACAACATAAAAAAAACTACATTTCAGAAATCAACTGAAATTAAATGCTGTTATTCATTTAGTGTGATCTTTTTTCATATTCTTTTTTTCTGAGGAAAGAATTTATGGCATCCACTTTAAATGAAGTCAAGTCTTTAGAGCTTTCTAATTGAAATGTTATTAAGATTTCAAATTACTTTGGATGGTGGTAAATTTAGTTTTCACTTGCCATATGCTTAAACATTTTCTCTGAGAAGATGTTGTCAGACAGATTTAGCAGCTTATTATTTTCCAGTTTTTCTTTTGTTCTATGGCCTTAAATGACCTTTTCCCAGTTTGATTTCATCAAGGTTAGTTATAACGCGGACAAGGCCAGACATGACGTTGAAGTTTTGTTCACACAAAGCTCTGACGTACATGTGAAGCTGCGTGGCCTCAGTCGGTGATACCTGCGGCCCATATTATGTTATTAGGGATGAAGCGCTGTTGTGCAATTTAATTTCAGATTAGCAATTAGTTCATATTAGTTCCCTTATTAAAATATTGGGGTGCAACAAGGGACCGCTCTGTTTTTTTCGACCTGTTTTTTTCTTTGCGTTGTTGGGAGCCATAGTGAGTTTTAATTCTGCGACAGAGTGATGAAGAATCTCCTAATTACCAGTGATAGTGAATCATAATGTAGTTTTTTATAATGTAGGGAGAACATAGAACAAATAGGACAGGGGAATAGTGAAGACAGTGAGCATGGGGAATAAATGCATCAGTGCTGAATATGATGCTGTTGTGTTGTAATATAATTGTGATGATCACAGCCTGGCTTAGTAACGTCCTCGCCAACATTTTAATGAGCGTCTGGGAGACGTCATCTCTAGTCCCGTCACGTTCAGCCACATTTGAAACAAACCAACCTGCAGTTAAAAAAACAGAACAAAATGGTAATTGTTAAATATAATTAATAAATAAAAAATAATAATTAATATAAATTAATAAATATAACTTATTCAGGAGAAATTCTCTGTAGTCTGTGGTTTGAACATTTTACTAAAACTAAAGTAATAATTAAAAATTAATTTATTAAAAAAGTATTTTCAACAGCTTATATTAAATTACACAATCTAATGAGTTCTAAGATCATGTGTTTGGTCCATTTGATTCCAATCATAAAGTGCTAAGATGCTAAACGTCTCCTCTGAGTGCTTTACTCATTTTCTCCTGTGGAAAAAAAAAATCAATGCCAGCCTAACATGTTTGCATGAGGCTCTATTTAAAAAGCATGACATCAAAACCTGTGAAGACAGTTTTGTTCTCATTAAACCTTGTGAGTCACTGCCGCCAGTTTTAACACTGATTTGTCATTCAAAGCTGTGGCTGAACACATAAATAATGCAGGTGACACACGTGTGCCGATGCCTTTGTGCTCTCTGGTTGTCAATAACACCACAGGTTTATCAGAGCTGGAGGAGGATGGATGCTAATCAGGCTTTAGCTGTGATGCTGCTGTGTCCGTGAATGAGGTCAGCAACCGTGCGCGCGTGGAGCATAATTTAGCCAGAGGCTGCTGCTCGTTTATTTTCTTCTCCCCTCTTTCTTAAAGACAAAGAGAGAAAAGCGAGGAACCAAAAAGAGGGAGAACATCACTGTGAAGTTTCAGCTACAATTACTGGGACGGTGCACAGTGCAGCACTTATTTGTTAGTCATCCAGGCTGATGCATCGTTAGAATTACAGAGGAAAAGGATACGAAGAGAAAACACTTCCATGAGTTTTTCTCTTTTTCAAGTAGTTTAAGCAAATGTGGAGAACCACAATGCTTTATTCCAGCAGCATAACATTTTAGCCATCCTTAGCTGTTGTTTATCAATGCGTTAATATGATAAATTCAAGGGGGTTCATAACTTGGTTTCATAACTGAAAAAGAAAAATAACATAACTTTTGAACATATACTTATCTGTTGCATTTAGAGAAACTCACAGAAACTTAGTAGTGAATGTAGATTCTGGTTGGAGTGATTGGTCAGGGTTTAGAGAAGAATAAATACTAAACAAACTGTGACGCGATGACGTAAGCATGTGCCACCGACTGCTGTTGAAATCCCATCACCTCTGTGTCCTGTGAATGGTGCAACATCTTTTAGTCAGGAGTGCAACAGCCCACCCTACGCACCTCCCCTCCTGCTGTCACATTCTAATCGTCACAGTGTAAGATGTAAACTGGCTCACTCTCCAGGGAAGATGAAGCAGTGACAGGAGGGTCAGGAGCTCCATCACAGACCTTGGAGATTGTTTTCTCTCTTTTTAATTTTTTTGTAGGTTAGACTTGAAAGACAATCTGTCCTTTGCTGGAGTCCCTGGGACATCCTTTGTCCATGGACTTGAAAAATTGATATACCAATTATTTGCAGTCTCATTTTAGTTTCTTCTCATTCCGTATAATAGTTTTCATTATCAGTCAGCAGTTATTGGCTGTATCCTTCCTCTATCTACGTGTACTGATTTCCAACACCACAGGCCTGGCTTACATGATGAAAAAAATCTCTGTGCTTCATTCCTCTGAAGACAAAATGGCATGCCATTGATATGTGCCCTCTGCTGGTGGGACAATTAATTGCACACACTCAAAACATTTATGTCCCGGAAGATAACTTAAAGAACTTAAAGACTAATTTAAAGAAGGAAGAACTAAGGAAGAACGGCATCCAAACAGGAAGTTGTAGATAAAGATGTGCTGTACCAGGGTTGGCCAAAGCCTGGAGGATTTTCTTTTAAAAAAACTCTCTCAAATCACAAAAATCAGTTTCATTTTCTGTAGTTACACTAAGCAGGAAAGGAAGAGAAAATAAGCAAACACTGGCTTCACAGAGTAATTAATTGGTTTATTTCTGAGCTGCAATTAATCAACAATGAATCATTAACCCGGGCTTACAAACCTAAATTATGTTTTGCTTTGATTCAGCATGACCTGCCAGGAAAAAGAGAGAATTTTGCCTACATTGTGTCTCGTCCCCCCTGTATACACACATCATTGTTGCCAGTCTGTCACGTCTGCTGTTGAGACAACAGCTTCTGCTAATACCTATTCAAACGGCATCACAGCTCCACAGTTAATTGCTGATTCTGTGAAAACATCAACCTCTGTCTGGAGTGCGAGGCTGCTGCAGTGAGACGTGCGAACGCGGCTGTTCACTTTCAAAAAAAAGTTCGCTCTCACCCTGAGATGAGTGTGAATACTTCATAAAGTGTAATCTTCATATCAATACGACAGCTTCCGCGTGTCAAGTGTATCAAATCTTCTCCACTGAAATTGCGAATGCTCTTTAATAACTAATGCTCTCGCTGAATAGGATTAAGAAGATGTGGTGAAAATAGAGAAAATCTAATTAGTGACTGTAATGAGTTTTTCCCAGTCAAGCCACAGAAGGTTCCCGCTTTGAATCGGATTCCACATGAGATAACAAAAAAAAGTTTTTACTATCTTATTCTGCCTTTGCATTTGCATTCAAATTGAATCTCTTAATTTGTGGTATTGAGGCAGAGGGTCATGACTGAGGCAGGAACGCCTCAGGTTGTTAATGATGGGGCAGAAGTGAAGTTAAAGGACAGAGTCGGGTCAAACAGAGTTACAGCACGTTGGCAAAACAAGGATGTTTGTCTCACTGACGGATACATAAGATAAACTCACCAACACACACACGCGCGCGGTGGGACGTTCACTCGCTCACAGATGTGTAAACACGTACAGAGGAGGAGGAAGAGGTAAGTAATTCAGGAACCACCAAACATGCTCGTCCAGTTTTTCTGAAAAACCCTCCCAGCTGCCATCACGATACGGTTACAAGAGTCAGAACATTATCTGTGGGACAGAGGAGGAGGAGGAGGAGGAAGAGGAGAGAGGAGCACACAAGAGGAGCTCTGTTACCTGGTCAGCACTTTGAAATCTCAGGATTCAACCACAGCACTGCTTTCTCATGCATCAAGCAGCCGAGAAGACAACGGGAAAGAGGATTAACGTGAGTTCCAACATGGTTTCTTCTCCTGGA